AGGATCTCCCAGAGACGTCCCAGTACCATGTGCCTCCAACACCGACACATCTGCAGGCGACTTCACTTGGGCATCGTGGAGAGCCGCTCGAATGACTGCTTGTTGAGCAGGGCCATTGGGCGCAGTGAGACTTGCGCTTCTGCCTACGTGGTTATTGGCAGCACCCCGAATCCAGGCGTAGACAGCCCCTGGGTCTGTGGAGTGACGCGGTAGAGCCTTCACTAATAGTGCACCACATCCCTCACTGCGGACGTATCCGTTGGCCGACGCGTCGAAGGTTTTGCATCTTCCATCAATGCTGAGCATGTGCGCTTTACAGTACTGTTCGAAGACGTAGTGGTTGATCAGGACATGAACTCCTGCTGCAATCGCTGAGCTGCACCTGTTGTCGTTGAGAAACTGCTTTGCCACATCCAGTGCTACAAGGGAAGAAGAGCAAGCAGTATCAATAGTCATGCTTGGTCCGTGTAGATTGAACACATAAGATAGCCGGTTTGAAACTATGGATGCAGCTCCACCAGTCCCACTCAAGCTCTTCGCCTCCTGCGTCGAGGTGCACGCCTCACGCACCCAGTCATTGTTGCAGCAGCCTACGACAATAGCTACATCCAGTTGGTTTTGTCGCTGTGTAGCGCTTGAAACTGCCTCATGGCAAACTTCAAGCAAAACGCGTTGATGAGGATCCATTAGCTGAGCCTCGGCGATAGATATATTGAAAAGTGCGTTATCGAATAAGGCCATATAAGGATATGTTCCAGCATCATTGACGTAAAGCTTATTTGATGAGCCTGAAGAAGTGTCCTTGTACTTCCAAGGATCGAAACGTGTAAGAGGGATGTGTTTAATGCAGTCATGACCGCCTTCAAGAGCACCCCAAAGATCTGCCTCGGACTGAGCCCCTGGTGGAAGCCTGAAAGCTAATCCAGTGACTGCAACCGCGCTTGCCTCAGAACCACGCCCAAATCTAGGTAGCATCTTGTGGTTCAAATCCGTTTCATGCGCTGCAGATGAGATTTCTTGAAGGTACGGAACGAGCTGAGCAATGCATGGATGGTCATATAAAATGGTTGCCGGAAGCTGCATATGTAGCTTTTTTGAAAGGCTCTCCCTAACTCCAATAGATGCCATCGAGTCAACTCCTGCTTCCACAAATGGCGTGTTCTCTTGCAAAGGTTCATCGCGATCCAGAGCTACTTTCAGGGCTTCGTGAACTGCTGCCCTGATCTGTTCACGAGATATGGACGGTGCTGGCGGTATTAGGGATTGCTGTGAAACATTGTCTACTTCAGGAACCGGGGAAATTCCTTGAGATCGTGAGCCGCAGTCAGGGAGCACGTCCACATCTTCAAAGCTTGACGAAACAGCGCCGAGATCTGCTTGTTCCGCTTGCATTATTCCATCGCAGCCACTCGCCAGGCTCAATGAGTTGTCATGAAGGGCGTCTTTGGCCCTCGTGCTGCTTATCCCACTCCCAGGTCCTAGAATGGGTATGTCAGTGAACACTACAGAACCACTACGGCCAGCATCCTGGTCGACAGATGACGCGGCAACGCTGAAGTTTGTGCCGCAGAAGGACGAAGAAGGTGTTGCAATGCAGCCCTCCGGAGTTATGAGCTCGACAGGAGACACCCCGTTGCTACTGCCTGCTGGCACGCTAATTAGGTGCGACCAGGGAAAGCGGCTTTTCTTCCAGTAACACTTGTCATTCAGCTGTGTCCTAAAGTCGTGCTGGCCTGTTGGTGGGCCTTCTAAAATAACGTGCCCGTTGCAGCCACCAACTCCAAATGAGCTAATACCCACGACAAGCGGCCGTTCAGGCACAGAAAATTTGGTTGGTGCTCGAGGGATGGAAAAGTATCGCGGAACTCTATCTACTAAGCTGCTGAGGCGATTGAAGTGAAGGGTACCTGGAACACAGCGGTTGATGAGCACAAGAATAGCCTTGCAAATTCCTGCACCACCTGATGCGCCTTCGCAATGTCCGATGTTTCCTTTGATCGAACCCACAAGGAGAGGCCTTTCGGATTCGTGAGAATCTCCAAAGACAGCCGCGAGGCTTTGAAGTTCCACTGCGTCGCCCATCCTCGTTCCAGTACCGTGGGCTTCGATGTAGTCGATATCTTCGGCAGACATGCTTGCCTTGGTTAGAGCTCCTTCCATGACGCGGCGCTCAGCACTTTCGCTGGGTGCTGTGGTGGAAAAAGCCCTCCCACTGTGAACAATTGCATGCCCACGGACATATGCGAGTGGTCTCACAAGCGAAGTGTCAACATAGTCCGCGACATAATCTTCCCTGACCAGCGAAAAAACCACGACTCCCTCGGATCTAATGAAACCATCGGAAGCCTCGTCAAAAGGGCGGCAGCGGCCTTTTCGCGAGAGCATTCCCAGATTGCACAAAGCTACTGTGACCTCCGGAGCAATGATCAATTGAGATGAGCCAGCAAGAGCGCATATCATTCTTCCAGATTCGATATGACTCACAGCAGTGCAAAATGCAACGATACCCGAAGACGTGGCTGTGTCAATTGTCATCGAAGCCCCCTCAAGGTTCATACAATACGAAATACGATTGGCAAGCATTGCGTGCTGAAGGTCTGCAATGAAACACGAAGGGCCTTCCCTTCCATGAAGTTTTGCATGTACGAGAAACCTGAGCAAGTGCAAGGAAGACAGAACGAATCCGCATCGTCAAAAGGGACAGCCGTGTGGTCTACAGCGCAGCCAGCAGCTCGCTGACCAAACGGCATCTTCGAGAGCCATCCAAAAAGTTTCATTCTGTATTATACAGGCATGCTTTTCCAAAGCATTGCTTCCCAGGGAATGCTGCTGAACTTACCAGTCGGCGCATGAACACCCAATGAAGACCCCTGTCTCATCCGTTGGGCTGACTCGGCCCTTCATCAAGGGGGCCCTGGCCTCGAATGCTGATTGCAAAAGAAGACGTTGTTGTGGGTCCATTTGGGCAGCCTGAAGAAAATACGGTTCTCAGATAACGTCAGCGATACAGGGTGGTTAGATCGTCGCCCGTTGCAATGTGTCACGCACAGAGACTTACTTCATGGTCAGGGATTTCAAAAAAGCGGTTGTCAAACGCATCTGCATCCTCAATAAATCCTCCTTCTTTCACATAGATTGTTCCTTCACCTCCCTCTGGATCATAAAGCAAATCTGCATCCCAGCGCGATTTGGGAATCTCAGTGATCGCATCTCTCCCCGACACAAGGATGTCTGACCACAGGTCACCAAGCGTTTCGATTCCCCCAGGCAACCTGCATGAAGCGCTTATAATTGCTACACGAGGGGACTGTTGGTGCAAATGGATCGCATGCAGCTGAGCTTTACTGTGCAGATCTGCGTCGGCACCCGCTGCGAGCTCAGTGATCTTCTCCACGACTTCCTCGATTTTGGTGGACTGAAGCAGCGAACTAGGCAGCTCAATTCCAAGGGAAATAGAGAGGGACCTCAAGAAGTAGGAACTAGCCAGCGAATCACCAGACACTAACCCCCACAATCCTTCGCAGGAAGTGCCTGCAGGGGCTTCCACTGCGAAGCTTGCATTTTTCAGCGCATCTAGGACTATTTTCAAGGCATTTGCGTCAACTGACGCAGAGGGTGCTGCCTGGTTTTCCATTTAGGCCACAGAAAGGCTGGCTGGTCACCTACGGCAGGGCATGGCATAGCAAACCAGGGACAATGCCGGAAGCTCGTTTAGTGAAGGTTCATTCAGCCCCCAGTTGCTGAAATTATTGTGGAAAATGCATTGTTAGTATGGGGCTGGTATAGAATTTGTATTGTGTAGCGCGTGGTCAGGCTGCGAAGACCCGAAACGATGAGCAACTCCTCGGGTGGTCACCGAGGAACCGCCCTGCCTGGAAACAATGTATCCCAGTGCAATCAGCACATTCGCCGTACTCATCAATATCGAAATTATAACAGGGATTCTATTTTATTCCATAGCTTGCACATTTTGGTAATGAGCAATCATTAATGTTACAGCCTCACGCGTGAGCGGTCCGCGCGCTCATGCAGGACCACACGCATCCCACAAACTGCTCAGATGCAAATCAGAATCTCTAACCCACCAAAATATTACTTCTATCATTATCCCCTCGGCAAACTGTAGTTTTGTTTCAGCACTGCGAGCCAGGATGTGCCCCATTGCGCGCACATCACACAAACTGCTAAGATGCAAATCATGCTCTGCGAACTACTGAAATGTTACTTCTATTGTTATCCCCTCTGTAAGCTGACGTTTTGTACCAGCACTACTTTCTGATATTTTCCCCTTTGAGTTTGTCCTGTGAGTGTTCAATGCCTTCATTGATCACAAGGCGTTGTTGTCGGCGTGCCGTACGAACTATCCATCTTTACGTAGCTTACGCGCATTAGACTATGTGACTTGAGGGACCAGGGCCTCAAAGCTACTTGTTGTTGGCTGCGTGGTGCTTCATTTACACGGGAGCCGGAACTGGCAGAAGTTACATACTAGCTAAACGATTGGAAGCTTGGCAAAACTGCAGTAATCAAGCAGCTCCCACCAAACGATCTTTTCATACAAGAGGAATAGAGCAGTTTAGGAATGGAATATTCAATATTTTTCACAATTTTATGTTCACGAAGCATGCGCACATCAGGTTATGTCGATTGAGTGATGAAGGTCAAAGTGCCCCTTGCTGGGTATGCTGTACAGGACATACACGGATGCAACGACTGACTGAAGCTACACGCTGGCTAATAGGCTGGAAACTTTGTAAAGAGCAATACTACAGCAATTCCCATCAAAAAGTCTCTTCACACATGAGGAATAGAGCAGAATGCATTCGATATTTCTCATCATTCTGCGACTCCCAAGCTGTTCCACATGGCCACGAGTGGCAGCAGCAAACTCTTCCCGCCGCAATTTACTATGGTCGTCCACCTATCACTGGGTAGTCTTCGTGGCTGGTACAAATCAAGGCGCAGCCACTAGAACTTTGTTTGTCGCAATTACTGAAGCTCTAGTGGCTGCGCCCTGATTTGTACAAGCGACGAAGACTTTCGAAAATGCACCAATATGAGTATTACATTGTGCTAGAGACACACTATGCACGCAGTGCGAAGCCAGCAGAATGGAGAGCAAGCCAGTTGATTCAGTGTTGGCGCTTTTGGAGAAGGGATTTTCAGAGACACCTACGCAAGATGAAGGCTTCCACGACAAACAAATAAACAGATAGTCAGTTGGATAGGCGTTGACGGCTACCCACCGAGAAGGCCGTAATCATACACTTGGACTAGGAAGCAGTAAGCTTCGTCTACGGAGATACAACCAACCTGCTATAAGAGCCATGCAAACGTCTGAGAAAAGTGCTTTCGAACTAGGCCAGTGTGCGGGATATGCTGAGATAATTTCTCAGTGCAAAACCAGAAATCCTCGGTCAACAGATGACATAAAAAAATGCACTCAATTTTAAATTGCACGACGCAAGAAACATCGACTACTGCCCGCGCCACCTGGGAGACTATCCCCAGGTCGATAAGAAAGCAGGTTGCCGCAGCGGCGGCAGTATGAAGGCAAAATTTTTCTATTGGGCATGCCTTGCAGGCTGTCAGTGATTGACGTGTTGTCTGTGCAGCTTCCTGAGAATTTTAATAATGAGAAATGAAATGCATTAGTTTCTGCTTGTGGCAAAAAGCCGCAGTGTCCTCGGGAAGACAGCATGTAAGCTGACACTACTACGGCAATCCGAGGTCGCATTCTGATGTAGAGGACACTTGCGCCTTTGCAATTCCTTTCAAACTCCACGGCACGTAGACTTCAAGGCCTGCAAGGCAGAATATGGGGGGACGAAGCTTTGGCTCACGGGGATTGGCAATATTTCTCAACTGTTAGCTGTCCAACGTTTATTGCATCACCAAGGAGAAAATGTGCCAACTATTTCCGATCAGAATGCGAAACTACAATGGCTCACGCTGATGAGGTCGATGTAGTCAATTTCATCACCTTTTGTACCCGGCAACAACTCCTGGACTATGGATCTGATCTCTTCATGCGACTGTTCAAAGCCTTCATGCATACACCACGACATTTTCGTCAGGTCATGGTGCACAAACGTAGTCAATGAAAAGCTGAATGGCGGGTGATATGCGCATTTCCGTCGCTATTCCCACTAGTAGTCATTTGTAAGGTGGTATATGAACACTGCGCCCACACGTCCAACGAGCGTTGATTCGCTTACCGCAGCGGTCGAAAACTTGGACCGCCTCGCTTAAGGGCACTTTCCGCCCAAGCGATGATCGAGCAAATTCCTTTGTCAATAGCTGAAACATACGAGGTTGCTGGTACAAACGCGCCCTAAAAAGGCCCAAAAGCGATGCAGCATCAGAGGCACAGGGACAGAAGTGAAACTCAAGGTTAACATGCGTGTAAGAAGCCAAATTAATTTAACTTCTATGGAGTATTCTACTCATTTATGGGGGAAGAATTGGCAATAACTCACTGAAGAAGCTTGAAGCTCTTTTTTATTGCTCGAATGTCCTCGAGCTTTGTGAACTCGACCTTCGCAGTCTCTCCGTATCCCTTGATGTCCTGCAGTAGCGTGCAGAGAAGGGTAGCCGAGGCACTGCTCCTTTAATTGGCTTAAATTTGTTGCCTGGCACACGAGTGTCCATCTGCCGCTGGGAAGTGCCTTACACTGTGCAAGGCATCACTTAATTTCTGGCTGTTTGCCAAAAATGGCCCTTGCAGCTCCAGCATTCCTTTGCAAAACTCTTCGAAGTCTACTTTTCCATCTTCGGTGGAATCGAAGAACCTCGCAATGGCAAGAGCGTCCTGTCACATCACGCATGTCCGCATTTGCTGGCATATATGCGGGTCTGTTCTGTCAATCTGAGCCATGGCTTTAGAGTTGTGCGGCAAGCCGTACCTGTTCGGTGAGAGTGTAGCCAAAACGCTCCATTCCGTTCTGAAAATCTTGATATGTCAGAAATCCCTTGCGTTGCTGCAGCATAAATGAGCTGGAAACGACGGCAGCTTCTACTTCACTGAACGGCCAAATATTCAGAGTAGGCTTGGCTATGTCGCAGCACAAGCAGGCGAAGGAGGAAGATCTACATAATGTTGGACCCAACCTCATCGCAGGAAGAAAACATGTCGCCCGTTTTAATCTCGTTTCCACGAAGACCTTCCCACAGACGCCTTAGGTGCAAAAGGACGCGTTCTTGGTCTGGTTCGGCATCGTGATGTCCCCCAGGAAACTCAATGGTGCCCATGATTTTAAATCTTTGTCCATTAATTGTTACTATGGACCTGCGCGAAATCGAGGAACCACTTTGCTGCCACTATGAGCAGGCTGCAAAAGGCCAGCAAAGGAAAAGCAGGACGTGTACAACGGCCATTCCTACCCTACAACAAAGTCGCTAGCCTGAAATGGCCTCCCAGCATCTTCATTAAAGTATACGGATCTCTGATGCAATTTTTCTCCAGCCGTTGAATTTTGCCTACGAACAGCACGTACTGGAGTTCGGACGGAACATGAAAAACAGACATGGCCCCAATTTTACGAGATGAGCCAGTCGAGTAGAAGCCGCGAAATAAACGCCTACCACTCCACTTTGGGCTGGAAAACGGAAACTGAGTTGTCTTCAGGGAAGAAGAGTATATGTACTACTTGGCCAGAACCACAAATGCAGATGCTTTGTTCAGATATGGCTCTGAACGACAGTGGAGCCTTGCGTTCATTATTTATCTGCGGAAGATTAGGCCGCGCATGAGTTCTACGAATTGCACAATTCGGAGGAGGAGGTAAAATCTTGTCAGTTTCAATATTGATGGGCTCTTGAAGTTGTATTCCCAATGTCTCCCTGCAAAATAAGAGCCGGCAGTCGCACGTGATGTTCTTGGAGCACAAGGAAAAGGCGCCAGAGAGTAGCATTCTCCTACATAGGTTACACGTATCTTTTAGACAAATCAGCTAGTGACGTCACTGAAAATGCATTCTGGCTTACTTGACAAACGAAGTGGTAAACGAATCGGCCGCATATATAAAAAAGTCGCGATCCGCTATAGTCACGACTGACCCAACCTGAAGAATCAGCAATTGTCCCATGCAGAAGAACTACTGATGGGGATGGAAATGTATTAAAGACCTGCCTATGGTAAAGCCACTTGAGATTCCGCACCTTGAAATCCTGAAGGGTAAAGTATGCGCTTTCAGGCGGAAGCGGTTCTGATGGGCCCACGCTTGCACGAATGCCTGGAGGCACGCTTTGACAGGCTGCCCTCGAACGTTTTGGCTCAGCCTTGCTGAGAAGAGTTCTACAAAAATGGCATTTTATTGAGGGCAGATGGCTATAGAGACAATGCTAGAATATAACAGTCTTCACCTGACCCTTAAGTACTTTCCTTCTGCTGATGAAAACGGTAAAACGTGTTCCACCCCTAGCTTGAAGGTTTTCTCGGAGTTCCAGAGTATTATTTCTGCGTAATAAACAGTTATCAAGTCAATACAGCGTGAAGATTTCCAACTAAAACGTGCCCTAGTTCTCGATAAAATACGGTTTGACCGTTCAGTGCCCAGCCGTTGGCCCTAAACCCTAAACCTGAAGTTACACGCTTACGAACATCAGTAATACCTGGGAAAATATAATATTGTGTACATTCGCCTCTCGAGCTTGTTCGTGAAATTGTCGTCGAAGTATGCATAAAATCTGCAGACCTGCACTTCGCACGCAAGCAGCAACTACCTTGGCTCCCTATAGAGGCTGATAGTGTGCTGACTTTAACTTTGTGAACTAGATGAACTCTCACCGGCTCAGGGCTATCGATGCGCTTGTGGAAGTCGTCTGTGGTGGGCTTGACACTGACACATACTGATGCATCACCCCTGAAAGCCCAAAAGCAGCCTACTGTGCGAAGGCTGCCGAGCCCCCAATGTTCTTTGGCGCCAAAATAATGTTGTACTAGCTTAAGTCACGAGCAAATGTGCAACGCTTTTGTGTGGCGTACTTGCTATCTTTCATATGATTCGGGTGTGCGCTTCCCGGAAAGTCTGAGCTGTAGTCAGAAGGCTGGCTCATGCCAGACTTCCTATACCACTCCTTCACGAAAACACATGCCAGCCATTAAGAACGTAATGCACTTCCGTTTTCCCAAAACTTTTTCAGCTGCCGAGGAATTAGAACTCCAAAATATTGGTATTTCGAACACATAACGGGATGACTTACCCTAGTGAATGCATCGCAGGCAGTCAGTGCAAACGTTTTTCCGTACGCAATGAAAGTTGTGCCAACGCGCAGGTCTGCCGGAGACACAAGCTTCTCTTGTTCATCTGCCCTTGGAAAACGATGCCTCTTGATTAATGTGCCACTACGCATGCCGCTGTTGTCGATTTTGGGCTCGACGACGGCCATAGTGTCATCCTGCGAAGTTTTGTTTCGAACAGAGCAAGTCACTTGCTATGTCAGAATTGTATCGACCCCACTTCAGTTGTGCTTCAAGCCAGCAGAGCATTCCCACCTCAAGGTAGTATAAGATTTCGACAGGCCTGCTGCGGTAATTCTCCAGTCTTGATTCGTCAACGTGCTCGTTAAAGTAGGCAAAGAACCTGAGGACCTTGTGCTCCATTACATCCCATGCAGGAGCACCCACAGAACTTGAAATGTCCTTTCTGTAGGTATCTCTGGTGGTTGCGACGGGAAGAGTTGAACCATCGCGCCAAGGATCTTTATCTCTGTAAATTGAAGTCAACACACTCGCGTAAACAGCTCTGCGCGACTCAATCCCTTATTCTCGTGTTTCACGGGCAAGTCAACGTAAGAGCCAGCCTTGTGACAGTTTACCTCTCCAAAGTAACGAAACGGGAAGCAGCGTTAGAACGGGCATCTTCAGGTGAGGCTATAGACTTGCAGAGATATCTTCGCGCTTCTCCCTCGCCCACGAGCTGACCCGGATGGAACTAGTACACGGGGCAGACGACACACGATGCGTTGGCCTTCAGAAAAAGGTGATGATTACTGGAAACACTAAGGCGCCATGCATTATGAATTGCAGTCTAACGGATGAAAGCTGTGCATTTATTCAGAAGTTTCTTGGGAGTCAATCCATTCCATTGGTTGCTTATGGCAACCAATGGATTGTTTTGGGCCTCTCGCCCTTGTGGCGCACCCACCTGAAAGCTCTTATGCAGCAACATTTTCCAAATACAAAAGATTGCCGTTGAAACTGGGCTTTAAAGGGATTTTCCCCACGTTAAACCCCCAAGTTCTGCAGAGTAGCCTCCAGACGCTTCTCCACCGTGCGGTGCACTGCTTTTCGTGCACGTCGTTTGGCTAAGCAGCTTAGTTCTGCATGTATTGTCCACTAATGTAGGACCAGTTCGCTCACAATTTCTATGGTTTAACGTAATTTGTCTCTACTAGAAACTTGCACGAGGGCATGCTAACTGTGGCTGCCCGCTCAATTAACGGCCGCACTTGGGTCGATGCTGCAGCACCACCGATCCTCGACGAGGCCCCAGTTTTATGCATGTGCGAACCCCACATAAAATGAAAAAAATCTAGTACAGCACTGTTTAATATTGTATATATTCGTATTTGATAGATAAACTTCCCGGCGTTTCCCCTTCCTGTACGACTTTTGCTCTTGCCGTGCTTCGGGGAAGAAGGCGCCTTGAGGTGTCTGGCTTACTGCAGATTCCGTGACGGAAAAAAAAACAAATATATGCTATACGTGGGCTGCAAGGGTTACTTTGAACTTCTAGTGGATTTTCCGCGTTTGGAGCAGATCAATGTGTGCTTCGAGCAGCCGCCTTACAGACAATGGTTGGGGTTCTCTCCAGTTCCTATGCTTTGAGATGTGCTAGTTGCGTGACCTTGGGCATATGCTTCATCTTCTTACTGATAAAAGAGGCAGATTTTCAGCCAAAGAGACCGCTTCAGCCTCACGCATGAGGGTCCTCAAGCGCCCATGAGCACCCTGGTAGCGGGGCCCTAAGCTTTTATACTTTCAGACGAGCCCTACGCCAGCCGCTGGAGTCAAATGCCATAGGGATTTACACCTGAACGTATGCGGTACTGGCATTTTATTTTCCTTGGCCTTCGGAAGCAGAAGAAGCCATTTTCCCCAGAACGGATGGGGCAACCAGCCATCCGGAGCATGTCAGGCCGTTCATGACACAGACCAAGTTTTCTGCATTATTCTCGTGATTAACCGCATCATTTTGATTTATATACAGGCTTTTGTTGCCTTGTAGCACTACCAAATAGGGCTTTCGTGAAAATCCTTCAAAAACCGTGTCTGTCCATCGCTGAGACGGATCAGTCAAAAACTACGAGGCAGTGCCTTCGGTTGGGCTCCTGGTAGATCAGGAAGTGTTTGAAGTGGAAGCTGCAAACTTAGTGCACAAGCTTCTAACGCCGCGAAAGAAGCTCATCAAAATTATGAAGGCCACCAGTCAGCTTCGCAGTGCAATGGCTGAGTGAGTCTTAGTGCGTGTCTGAACTAGTTGGCTGCGAGCACCAAGACTGGTCTGGTTGCCACGGGCGCCTGACGAATGCGCTCTTGCTAGCTGTAACACTGGAGGCACGAATATGCCTCTCATGTGAGTTTGCGGGAGAGGCCGTGGGAATAGAGGTCCTAGTAGCGCAACATTGTGGCAACCGTGAGGCTGTCACAGGGGTACTTGGTATTTCGCTGACGCCATCAATATCTTTCACGGAGCTAGAACGCGCAGAAGAGCCCCTTCCTGGCCTTTGCTGAGCAGGTCTAACAAGCTTCGATATAAAGGACCCTTTTGCGGCCGTGGCAGAGGTGTCGTAGTGCCTAGAAGGAGTCTGGGCACTATTGAGACCTGCAGAATCATTGGCAGCGTCTCGGTCTGCCATACAGTTTTTGCCATCATTCTCAAAGCTTGAGGCCCCCCGAACAACTCCTGCATTTGGTGGCACTCCTCCGTGTTGGATTTTCTTACAATCAGGAATTTCAGGAATATCACAGCTAGCGGCCTCCGGGTGAGAGCCTGCCACTGAGCCTGCATTGATAGCTGAAGCATTGGCTGAAGCACTGGAGCCTGCCTGAGAAGTCAGAGGATCAAGTTTGTAAGACTGAGCTACAGCCGCGAGGTCAAGCCAGTCCGTTGGAATGCTGTCACGATTTGCTGTCTCAGCCCTCAATGTAGCAAGCTTATGATGGGGCAGGGCGGCCGAGGTCCCGGCGCAAAAGCGAAGCATATGCAGGCCA